CGATAGCGACTCGGTGGACTACCAGTAGTCCAGTCCCAGGGAACTCGGAGATGGGCGGCGAACTGCTTGCTAGACTCAGACGAACTACCAATTGGCCAGCGTTCCGTTTTTGGTTTTTAGACGAAGAAAATATTGATATTAGATAATTGCACGTATTACGAAAGAGAAATTCAAACATTTTCGAGACGTTTTTGTGAAAAGAGAAAAGGCGCACCAGCAATTAGCTACACCTGCAGTCCAGCAATCCAAAAGTCGGCTTCCACACAGAAATTGAATCTTCCGTTCCGGTCTTGCCATCTGCATTTGTCCCCTACGCTCCTCCACGTTTGTTTGAGCCCCTCCTCGAACCAACTCTCCATGCCACTGGTGGATCTAAAAACTATAACCCTAATCGACGAAACGACGAGCATATAAATACTTCATCTTCCAGAAAGTTGTCAGAACTCTTCCGAACAAATGCAGCAAACCAGACAGCAAGTGACAAACAAACATACATATCACCCGAATCACCGAATCACGGATAACGAACAACCCAAGTGCACTTCCAACATATATACTTATATATACATATATCGAATGTGTATTGTTATAGCAACTTTTATTATAAGCGTTGAAATAAATAAACAGTTTGAAACGGATCAAAAAGTGCGGGCAACTGTCCATTTATCGATTATTTCTAAAAGGTTTCAGGTCAGACATCGTAGTTCTGGCATCCAACTCGATAAATATAAAATAACGGCGCCACTGAGCTGAGATGAAAACCCAACCTTTTAAAAATAGGGGGTGGAATCCAGGTCACTTCCTTAGAATGTGGTTTAGAGGTCGTACTTCTATACATTGGAAACGTTCTTCATATAAGTTATTAAATTTAACAAAAGACTGGTCCTTTTTGTAAGACCAATTTTCTTGTCTTTGTGATAAACCGAAAGTAAGTTTGAATCTAAAAAATGTTTGGAATATTTCAGTTTAAAATGTTATTTAAACGGGACTGAGTATTCACATTAAACTAATATAATTATTTGAATTATTAACAAAATTAATACGACTTTTTGTTCATAATTTCTGTACATTTAAAAATTATTTATTCAAAACACTACAATGTGTAATGACAACGATTGAGAGATAAGGTAAGTATTGGTAAAAGGTAGGTATATTTGAAATGCCATATAAATAAAAAAATATATGGCGGTTTCAAAAAACTCCTTGATCGGAACTCGCAGTCACCTTTCTTTCTTAAAATAATGAAGAAACAACACCAAACAAATTCGTTTTTTCTCGAGGGATTTTTATTCTTAGACTAATTTTTGACCCTAAACAAACAAACATGGAAGACAATGATTCGCTTAACTCTAATGGAAGACAATGATTATAGCTACGAACTTAGGCTAAATTAAAGCATTATTGAAGACATTTTAGCAGCTAGTTTGATATGTACAGTTGGCGGAAGCGACGAAGTTAGGCGCTTCCAAGGCACACAGCCAGTCTCGTGTTCTCGTCATCACAGTTGGAGTTTAAAGCCGAAGTGCAGATTTATAGACCTTTCAGTGGGGTCACATCACAGTTACTCGATGGAGGAGAATGCTCCAGAAGAACTCAGCACAGAAGGCTGATTGTCTTGGCCTCAAGTTGTTCGTTGAGCCAATTCTGGTGCTCCTCCTCGGTGGCGCAGGAGTAAAGGACGTTGGAGATCGGGATCTCCTTTGAAGGTTTAGAGTTCTTGAAGATCTTCTTGAAGGTCTTCAGCAGCTTCTTCATGTTGGTGGAGGCGCCGGTGAGAGAAGGCTTCTCCGACACTCCGTTCGAGTTGGAAATAAGAGCTGTTTCGGCGAACATTTTGCTGGAAGATTGCTGATGATCTGCTCGGATGGAGAACTGTAGTTCGAATGATGCTGTAGGTCTAGCTGCTCGGTCTTTTATACCGCATTCTGCAACCCCCCTGTGGGTTTCTCCCTACCTGCTAAATTCCAGGGGATGAAATCTATTCTGCAGGTAAACCTTGCAATTCCTTAAATGACGTACACACATGGGGTGGGTAAAGCAAACACAATAAATCAAGAAAGAAAGTTAAAGTCTAGGACTTCCACTACTCGCTGTTCTTTTACACAATGTTTTTTGTCTGCATACAGGGCTAATTCAAGAGTCTTATTAAAAACAAGTACATCAAGTTTGACTTTCGGAACATTTTCGGTATGTATTGTATGTTAATACAACAAATTAAAATATATTCCTCATTTAATAAAGAAGAAAGGAAACAAAGACAAGGTCTAGGGCAAACTTCGATTACATAGCCATTTTAAAAGACTTTAACATACCCGTTGCTCAAATTGCACATATAATTGCACGATCCCAATTACTTTGAGGAAAATTTATTTTTTGACCAATTTTCGTATTTTTTGTAAGGGGGTGCATCGTCTTTTTTTGCGAAAAATGCGAAAAGTTAAAAATTTCCATGTTTTAATGCCAATGGATTGGAAATTAAGCAACTAACTCAACGAGGTATGACAATCCTCGATCTGACGTTTATTTTCTTTGTAGCAGCCAAAAAAATGAACTTTGAGGTCGAAAAAATGTGATTTTGGTCAAAAATAAGAGATTCAGGTTTTGGGCAAAAAAACCGATTTTTCTTTCCAGTTTTTCAATCGTAGTTTGGTCAAATCAAGGCGTACAGCTAAAAGACCGACAGTTTTGAACAGCTTGCTACCTCTGCTAACGATCACACTTACTTTGAGGAAAAATTTATTTTTTGACCAATTTTCGCATTTTTTGTAAAAATGCAAAATATGCGAAAAGTTAAAAATTTCCATGTTTTAATGCCAATAGATTTGAAATTAAGCAACTAGCTCAACGAGGTATGACAATCCTCGATCTGACGTTTATTTTCTTTGTAGCAGCCAAAAAAGTGAACTTTGGGGTCGAAAAAATGTGATTTTGGTCAAAAATATGAGATTCAGATTTTAGGCAAAAAAACGATTTTTCTTTCCAGTTTTACAATCGTAGTTTGGTCAAATCAAGGCGTACAGCTAAAAGACAGACTGTTTTGAACAGCTTGCTACCTCTGCTAACGATCCCAATTACTTTGAGGAAAATTTATTTTTTGACCAATATTCGCATTTTTTGTAAGGGGGTGCATCGTCTTTTTTTGCGAAAAATGCGAAAAGTTAAAAATTTTCATGTTTTAATGCCAATGGATTGGAAATTAAGCAACTAGCTCAACGAGGTATGACAATCCTCGATCTGACGTTTATTTTCTTTGTAGCAGCCAAAAAAGTGAACTTTGAGGTCGAAAAAATGTGATTTTGGTCAAAAATAAGAGATTCAGATTTTAGGCAAAAAAAACGATTTTTCTTTCCAGTTTTTCAATCGTAGTTTGGTCAAATCAATGCGTACAGCTAAAAGACCGACAGTTTTGAACAGCTTGCTATCTCTGCTAACGATCCCAATTACTTTGAGGAAAATTTATTTTTTGACCAATTTTCGCATTTTTTGTAAGGGGGTGCATCGTCTTTTTTGCGAAAAATGCTAAAAGTTAAAAATTTTCATGTTTTAATGCCAATGGATTGGAAATTAAGCAACTAGCTCAACGAGGTATGACAATCCTCGATCTGACGTTTTTTTTCTATGTAGCAGCCAAAAAAGTGAACTTTGAGGTCGAAAAAATGTGATTTTGGTCAAAAATAAGAGATTCAGATTTTAGGCAAAAAAAAACGATTTTTCTTCAAATTGTACAATATAACACTTAATGGGTCGACCCTTGAAATTGTTAATGTGACCAGTAAAATAGTTACTCTCATAACAAGAAAATGTACACTTGTACTATTTTATAGTAGTAATAGTTGAAATAGCGAATTTTATCTGTATGCTCTATAAATATTTGCCTGGGAATCGGTGTAGCTAACCTTTTGTTTTGATTATAGAAGAACTTCATGAGACTCACCGACTTGTAAATTAAATTTACCTGATTCATTGAAGTTTTTGGCTTCTTTCCTGTATTAGAAAACACTTTGATCAAATAAGCCAAAGCCTAAAAATTGTTAATGTGACCATTTCATGTGAATTTCAAAACAGTTACATTTTATGCGTGAAAATCTTTTAAATGTAACTGTAACAAGGAAGAACGCTATAGTCGAGTACCTCGACTATCAGATACCCGTTACTCAGCTATATGGAGATATGCAAGCAGCAAAGCGAGATTAAAATGCGCCACCTACCGGAGGTATACAGATTTAAGCGTTATGGGCGTTAGAGTGGGCGTGGCAAATTTTTTTTGGATCAATCGATAGGTATCGACGAGACCAATACATTTCAGTTAAAATTTTTTATCTAGCATGAAAATTGTGGGCGTCACAGGTTTTCGCGGTTTGTGGGCGTTAAAGTGGGCGTGGCAAACTTTTTTTTGGGTCAATCGATAGGTATTGATGAGAACAATACATTTCAGTTAAAATTTTTATTCTAGCATCAAAACTGTAGGAGCCACAGTTTTGGGCGGTTTGTGGGCGTTAGAGTGGGCGTGGTACTGTGCCGAAACAAACTTGCGCTGCGTAAGAAGCTCAGGAATCTGCACGCCAAATCTCAATAGCCTAGCTCCCATAGTTTCCGAGATCTCAGCGTTCATCCGGACGGACAGACAGACATGGCTAGATCGACTCGGCTAGTGATCCTGATCAAGAATATATATACTTTGTGGGGTCGGAAACGCTTCCTTCTGCCTGTTACATACTTTCCGACGAATCTAGTATACCCTTTTACTCTACGAGTAACGGGTATAAAAATATGTTCAGTAAAGTTGGAAATCTAAGTCACCCCTTCAAAGCAATGAATCCAAAATGTAAACTTAAAAATCAAAAAAAAATGTAAAGAGGTAAGCAAAATATGCTGTTTAAAAATGTATCATTTTTATTAATTTTTTTCTCGTTAAAATTTTAAACAGACATTAAGTCTATTAATGAGAAAAGTCAACTATCTAAACCAATAAAAGGTACAAAAAATGACACAGTGAAAAATTGTTTTTTTTCCTCGAGGGATTTTTATTCTTAGACTAATTTTTTGACCCTAAACAAACAAACATGGAAGACAATGATTCGCTTAAATCTAATGGAAGACAATGATTACAGCTAGGAACTTATTCTAGGTTAAAGCATTATTGAAGACATTTTAGCAGCTAGTTTGATATGTACAGTTGGCGGAAGCGTCGAAGTTGGGCGCTTCCAAGGCACACAAGCCAGTCTCGTGTTCTCGTCATCACAGTTGGAGTTTAAAGCCGAATTGCAGATTTATAGACCTTTCAGTGGGGTCACATCACAGTTACTCGATTGAGGAGAATACCCCAGAAGAACTCAGCAGAGAAGGCTGATTGTCTTGGCTTCAAGTTGTTCGTTGAGCCAATTCTGGTGCTCCTCCTCGGTGGCGCAGGAGTAAAGGACGTTGGAGATCGGGATCTCCTTTGAAGGTTTAGAGTTCTTGAAGACCTTCTTGATGGTCTTCAAAAGCTTCTTCATGTTGGTGGAGGCGCCGGTGAGAGATGGCTTCTCCGACACTTCGTTCGAGTTAAAATTAAGAGCTGTTTCGGCGAACATTTTGCTAAATGGTTGTTGATCTGATCGGATGAAGAACTGTAGTTCGAATGATGATGTCGGTCTAGCTGCTCGGTCTTTTATACCCACTCGGAGAGTCCTTCCCTTCCCTACCTGTTCTCAAAAACCCGAAGGAATAGGGGGATGAAATGCGTCATCAATTCGGCCGGCAGGTAGGTACACTTTATCTGCTCGGTTTCGTCGCAACGGATTTTCTCACATGAAATGCTTTTTGATTGTAGCAATTTATCTAGGAGCACTCTAAATGAATTGCAATTAATGCGGGTACTTCTTCGGTTGGTTGAAACTGATTATTTTGAAACCAAACAAGATTAGTTCTGAAAATAAGGGGTATTGGCATGAGGCGGCTCAGATCAATAATGGATTAGAACCCGAATACATGTTTAACCTCAGAGCGTAATTCAAAATGTGTCCTGTACGAATGATTATTGGATTTTAAAAAATCCCTCAAAATGCGTATACCTGTGTTTGTTACTTTAAAATTACATTTCTAAACTGTCTTGCATCCTAATCGATGTTAAAAAAAATTGTTTAATTAAAAGTTTCATAAATGGTGCTTATGATTTATAAAATTACTTATCACATTTACTTCATTCACTTCACATTTTATTTTAATAGCATAAACTATTACATTTAAAATAATGATTGCAAAAGTAATTCTACAAAAATCGAGGAATTTGTTAGTACCAAAAGACAAATACCAATAATACAAATATAATTGGAATAATTCGTTTTTTTTCGGCATAATTTTGTTCAATATCTATGGAATTTATTACTCAATTCGAACACAAAAGTTAAATATTCAATGTATTTTCAGCAATTTAAACTTTACGTTACCGTCAAAACCGACAGTCGATCCTTTACATTCCCTAATTCCAGCTTTATCTTGGCTCTAATTATTAGAAAATGTATAAGATTTTCACGGGATATCCGTATCTTATCCCTTACTTAACATGCTTATAAGGCGGTCCAACCTTTACATAACAATCAAACAAAAGCCGATCCTTAATTTAGCCCAGCACATATCTTATCCTGTTTTCATTAAGATACCCACCCAGAAGAACTGATATCAAAATCAATTTCGTTCCAGCAATCCATAATATACACCTTCAGTCCAGCCTTTTGCGACATACCACACTCGAATAGTCTTCTAATTAAGCAATTAAGTTCAAAGGATAATTAGGATTAACGTGAAAATTGCGATTTCCACCGTATCATTTCGTAGGAGTATTTCGATTTACTCCGATTTACGCATAACCAAAACTCTCCACATTCCGAGGTTAAAACTTTGTTCGGCCCGAAATGAGCGTAAAACACCAAATAGATCGTGTCGAACAGCTGAAACGAAATGGTAACAGGATGCCAAAAAGCCAAAAAGGCAACTCGCAATTGAATTGCAACGATTTGGAACCAATCGATTCGGATCGATACGGCCGAGGTTTATTTCTAAGAAATAAAACGAAAAATGAATAATTGTCAAATGTCAAATGGGTTCCGTCGGTAAAACCCGTGACGTGACCCGAACAACAAGTACGGATCCCTGAAGAACAGAAGAAGTGTGCAGGATCTTTTTTGTGTCCCGAAAAGGGCTCAGCATGAGTTTTTGTCTATAAGGAATTTTTAGGGATGTAGAGTCAGACTAAACGTTGCATGTCCACAAATACACCCCCGATCCTTTTGCATCCTATAGTGCATATTCCAATTTGCAACGCTTGAACATTCCTGTTCACAATTACTTCACTGCCGAATGTCCTTTATTTTTCGTTCTCTATTATTTTTGGGTGAAAAGTCAGTTACGTGCCCGATGAATAATTGTATTTTGGCGACATTGCCGCCAACTTCTAAGGCGAATCAATTCGTTCCAAACGTTTGCCGAAATATAACCGAAGCAAAAGTTCTATTCAACATAAAACAAAATAAGAGTTCTTAGAACCAAGCACGTTCTCTGTGCAAATTGAAATTATTACGCCAATCTAAATTTGTCCTCAAATTCTTGAGAAATACTTAACGAATTAATAATAAGGACAAAGATTTTAGAAAGAAGTCAATTATGCTTACTTTTTCATGGTACTAGAAAGTAAGTCTAGGAAATTAAGAAATAAAAACAACTAAAAAAACATACGGTGTGTATCCTTTACATATATACTTCTATTAGTATAAAAGTATTCCTTAAAATATTCCTAAAATTTTTTAGAAATGATAATTAAATATATTCTGAACAATATTCTTGAGTTGTCATAAAATAATTTACAGAAGTAATGAAAATACCATTATTTCAAACACTCTTCAGTTAAACTATTGCTTGCTATATAAATAGTTTAGTCAAATCTTCCTAATTTATCTTTACATTTAAGGCTTAACAACTATAATAGGAAAACTATATTTTTCAATAGATTTATGTACAAGAAAGGACATTTCATCTTTCTGGATTTGCCATTTAAATTGTTTTTGATGGTTTTGTGCTCTGCACAGGAACAATGAGCAGTCCCGTGAAAATGTTTTCTCGGTGGCTTAGTACGGAACAATACTCTAGTAATTATTAAAAATATGGAACCCGAGGGATTATGCTCTTTTCAGTGTAGGCACCCAAGTCAAATGCAGATTTTTGGTAAATGGGAAATTATTGTTATTAATATTGTTATAATGAAAGACCATAAATTTCAAGTCAAATTGTAAAGCGATTTATTTTCGTATGTACATTAGGGCAAAACGACATTTTGGTATTACAATATCCTTCTCTTGGGTATAAATCGTTTTGGATTATAAAAAGAATTTAGACCTCACAAATTACTAAAAATCTCTTAACTAAATTTGACAAAATGTTATTATCTAACTTAATTTATTAAAGCAAAGATCGTTTAATTACATTTTAGAAGTTGTTTAAGTAATGGTTTTATATTTCGCAGTTCCGCTAGGTAATTACGGTAAATAAATAGGTAATCAACAAATTTTTCTTTTTTAATTACTCTTTTAAAAATTATTTTCAATGTTATTATAAACAACAATCCCTTGACTCTTTAAAATGTTTACTTAAGAGCGCTACACAGATTTGGACACCTAGTTTTTCACCTTATGAACTCCGGACGAATTCCAAATATTTGTATTACTTTGCAAAAAATATCCAGTTTACACCAAAAACGGTTAGCATGAAGAAGGCCAATCATCAATTAATATCCTAAATAAACATGGAAGCGAATAAAATGCTAGCGAAGAAATTGAAATTTCCTGGCTGGATTACCTGGAACATTGGCAAACGAAAACAAACGTAGTCGATCGAACAGATGAGCTCATTATTGAATCTCAACCGAGTGCAACGAATCAATTCGAAACAAGATGGATGCAGGCAGGACATAAATCCTATTAGAAACCCAATCAACCGTTTCGGGATACATGTTCCTGCTTGATCCTGTCCTCGTTTCAGATCCTTTCAATTTCGGGTCAGAGAATTTGAGAAGCGTTGCAAATTGAAAATCGGTACCCACATGTGCGAAGGATGAGACGAAGGATGAGGAGATAGTTTAACATACTAAAGTTAGTCCTGCCCTAGTTGAATTTTTTTAAATATTTAAAAATCACGATCTGCAATCGATGTTGGTGGCCCTCGGCCAAGCCCAATTTGTCGGCAATTTAAAAGCAAATTGAAAGTGTCTATGTAACAATTTTCGTTGCCCATCGAGAGAAAGGACCCCGGGAAACACGTAGGACTACCCACATAGATCACAAAAGGCGGGCCAAAGCGAGAAGCGGAGAAGAGGAAACTGCTACTTTTCGCACAATGCTCGGGCGCATGAAAAGAGACACCTCCGAACTATTCCCTTGTCACTACTATATATCCCCGATTTTTGGTACCCGACAAGCCGACGCATCCGTCACCTGGTGCGATTAGCAGTTACAATGGTGAGCGGCCACGGCAGGATCAAAGCGGAAAATTCATTTGGCTTGGTGGTCTTCGTCTCGGTTTCGCTTTTGATCTCCGCACAAGCGATCCTTTATATCGCTCAACACGAATTTACTAAAACACCCTCAATCGCCCAGTTCATTAGACACATAATTGTATCGAATAGCACACCGAAGGTTGGCTAGGGCTCTTCAACAGATCCTTTAATTGGGTTAACAAGAGCTTGTTTCAGCAAGAGGTGTTGAGCGCCTCTTTTAAGTTCCAACGTGCTTTAAGCCAATGTCTGTGCAACTTTCTAGGACTGTCTTTGTCTTAATAAGACTAAGAATGTAAATAAAAAACCAAATTTTTATTATTTTAACTTATACTTTAAAGATTTTAAATCATTTTGCCGAACCAAAAATTTCTAAAAACCAAAAGAGAAAAACATTTTAAGTCCTGCTAAATCTTTAAATTTCATTAGTTAACTTATACTTTAAAGATTTTAAATCATTTTGCCGAACCAAAAATTTCTAAAAACCAAAAGAGTAAAACATTTTAAGTCCTGCTAAATCTTTAAATTTCATTAATAAATTAATTTTTATTTTGTTTGTGACACGAAAAATTAAGGTTTAAAACAAGGAAGAACGCTATAGTCGAGTACCTCGACTATCAGATACCCGTTACTCAGCTAAATGGAGATATGCAAGCAGCAAAGCGAGATTAATATGCGCCACCTACCGGCGGTAGACAGATTTAAGCGTTATGGGCGTTAGAGTGGGCGTGGCAACTTTATTTTTGGATAAATCGATAGGTATTGACGACACCAATACATTTCAGTTAAAATTTTTTATGTAGCATGCAAATTGTGGGCGTCACAGGTTTTCGCGGTTTGTGGGCGTTTAAGTGGGCGTGGCAAACTTTTTTTTAGGTCAATCGATAGGTATTGATGAGAACAATACATTTCAGTTAAAATTTTTTATCTAGCATCAAAACTGTTGGAGTTACAGTTTTGGGCGGTTTGTGGGCGTTAGAGTGGGCGTGGCAGTCTACTGAAACAAACTTGCGCTGCGTAGGAAGCTCAGGAATCTGTACGCCAAATCTCAATAGCCTAGCTCTCATAGTTTCCGAGATCT